GAATTGTGAAAAATTAGATAGTTTTCGATCTACCTATAACATTACAGGTTTCTCCTACTGCGTTTATAAAGAAATGTTCTTCGTTCTTCTTCAAAAGAAATAATGAAACCTAGGCTGTTGCATATTGGCATGCGAAGAGCCATGAGTATATACCCTGTGCTGAAAGTTGTAAAAGCCTAATAGAGTATACCTTTGCAATCTCGGTTTAACCCTCGAGATACTACATGGGTCACTTCGACCTTGAAAAAAAAACATTGCATATCATTTTGAGTTCGAAACTTTTGTGGCGACTTTTATTTATAACAAAAGACCTTTCAGGCCTGAAATCAGTTTTTATCATCTCCGATGTATCCATATCTGCTTCTACAAAAATTGGTCAATTTGACTCGTAATTTTTTTCAAATTGCCGTAGAAATTTAGCACAAATATTCCTTGATCGATTAAAAATCTAAGGTTTCTAATTTATCTGCTTTCACAGACACTAAGACAATTTCTTCATAGTTTTCGTCTACAGCTTTCAAGTCCGGCAAGATGTGTCGGCAAGCAAACTATTCAAATGTTCGCTAGAACTATCCGTAAGTTCGTTCCCGAAGTGGTGGTGCCGATCGGTTAGCAATATATAAACGATAACATTTTCTTTCCAATTTGTATTCAAAATCCAATTAGTATATTTTTCACCACACCACAGACCAGACCAAGCATAAAAAACTGATTAAACGCACTTAAGGGCCTTTTCTTATTAGCAAAAGTCCCCAAAATATTTTGAATCAATACATAAATGGCTTACTAACTTCTTCTTTTTTTTTTTGAAGCTCCAAAGTTCAAATAATCAAAGTGACCCAGTCGGTATTGATCAGATTTTATATCATTTCAGACTTGTGCTTACTTGTAAGTTAGTTGACCCAATAAACATTCTTTCTCAGCTAAAGGCAGCAGAGGAAATCCATGAAACGGTCCTACTTTATTCCAATACATATGATTAGAGCCGGAAACTGAAGTTGAATTGTAAAGAAAACTTCGATATCTATAAAATAACACATCTATTAAGAATCATATGAACATTTTTGAATGCAAAAAAAGAAGATCGAAAGTTTATAACTCACTTATTAACAAGATTATCGCCAGTTATGCCACAATTCAAACGAGGTATCGGCCGAACATGACTCATCGGGCCGCGATCACCGTGCCGCAGTATTAATAAAACACCTTGAAGTTTCCAACCATCCAGAATGCCACCGTCATCTGCTCGAGCAATATACGTTAATGGTGTACAACGTGCCTTATATTTAACTAAATTCCGTAACTCAAGTAACGAAGACGTTGACGCATCCAAATTATTTAATTGATTTCGGCCATTTAAAAAATTCAATGTATAACCTAAAGATGTTGAATTTTGTCCGATATATTTGTACATGCCTAAAAGTTTCAAAACACTACATAGATTAATCATGATCCGAGGACAAAAAGAGATTGTTAAAGACATCACGAATTACCTGCTATGAGAAGAAATATCCATACACTCAATATCATATAACAATAAAGAGTGCGATGTTGTGTCGAAAATCGTATTAATTCCCTCAGTATCATCATCTTAATATGTAACTTATTAATTATAATTATGTTATGCTCATAGATGATGTGTTTTCGATATTTTTTGAATATTATAAAACATAATTAGAAAAATCAAATTTTGATGCGTCAAGTTATTCTACAAATATATGTTAAGGTATATTAATTAGTATAAACAAAAATAAAAAAATTATTATTATTAGAAATTCTACCACCTGCTGATGTATAATTTTAGGATAGATTTGCGTATTTTTTCTATAGGTTAAAAGCTTAATCAGCTGTTTATGCATATATAAAACAAAGATACCTTTTGTATGCTCGTAAAATGTATTTGTATATGAGACAACACACATATATTAGTTAGTTTCCCTAAAAACACGCTTTACTGTTGTTAATAAATAAAAATGAATTAAAAAACAAAAAAAAGGAGAAAAGACAGTAAAAACAATTGCATTTAAGATCCAAAATACGGAACTTCAACGATTTATAAGTAACTTCGCGTTTATCTCATCAATGGACTTCTTAAACTAATGGTGTTCAAATATCCCCACTATATTTATAAGATTATAAAGCAATACGAAATAGTTGTGTTCCTGTTTTTGTTAATCCTCTGAAGTATGCAATGTTTAATAATATTTTCACTTTGAAAGAAAAAGGAAAAAAAAATTCGTGTATTCGAAATATTCCGCTTCTAATTTTCAAAAAACCTGAACAACCACAGCCATAAATTCATTAAAAGTTATGTGTTGAAAGTCTATGCTGCAAAGTGTTTACTAATCAAATTTTTAAAAGACGCCCAAAATTTTTCGACAAATAAAAAAGTTGAACCCGACCTTAATATTTACCGAACAATCTCGATTTTCAACATGAATATATACTTATGTTCCACGGAGTAAAGCGTAGATATGGATCTGATATTAACTTCATTTGTACTAAGTACTTGTTTTTCGAGCGCTAGCGGAAGAAGTATGTAAAGCAAGACGGCAATCTAACGTTTCAAATATAAAGACGAAAGTTTTAAGCTTTACAACTGACCTAAATTGCACTGGAACTCTTTTTTACTTACTGTAAAAGGTACGTAACAAATGTTTGAAATCCTGAAATAATTTGTGATGTTATTCAAGATCTTAATCAGGCAGCAAGTCAGCAGACATTTTACCAGAAGGAAGTTTAGATAAATCTCAAATACTGCAGCAAATTTCGGTACGCGATATTCTTAAGAAACACGAGGATCCTTCGCAGGAATAAGCATTGTAACGAACCAAACGCACGATAGCAGTTTCAAGATCCGAAGCGATTCAAATAAACGACTTAACTTAATATCCCTTGCATTTTTAAGAATTTGTGCATTTAAACAACGAACAGTAAATATTAGAGCATTTAAGCAAAATTTAAGAGAAAACTGATCGAAGTAAGATATTTTTAAGGGCCCCTTGTTCATGTCTTCCATTATTACAAACAGAATATCGATGTTGCGTTCGCTACGTTTCCCGAACTCTGTATGCGATAATCTACACTTTTTGGAGTATTTGATCTCCTTTATCTGCGCACATAAGCCCCAAGGAGCCATATTGGTCTTTTTACCGAGTTATGATAAAATTTCCAAACTCAGCGCACAGCTGCAGAAGCCTTCATTGCGTTATCACCAGGATTTGGCAACGCAACTTCTTACATATCCCTTGCATTCTATGATGCCAACAATAAATCAAAGAAATGTTTTTGAACCGGCTCCAGCGGATAAACGTAAAGTGATATTGTCGACCATAATAGCTGAAACGTCAGTAACTATTAATGATGTGGTTTATGTTATTAATCCGGGGCGTGTCAAAACTAGCGATTATGATCTGCAAGCTAACACACAACAAACATTGAAAGAAACGTGGGTTAGCAAGGCTAATTCTCAACAACGAAGGGAAAAACAAAAAAAAAAAATAAAGGAAGAAAAAAAACAATTTATGAACAATATTTTATTTTTCGTTAATGAACAGAATTCTACTAAACATATATATATATTGGTTACATATTAAACAATTCAATTCGCTCAACATGGAACTCACTTTCTAGTATAAACAAATAAGCTATTTGCTTATAATTAACAAAAGTATCTGAGAGTAATTTTTATATAAACTTGTGTTTAGCTGTTTTTATGTAAAAAATTAGATATACAAGAAACTTTATTTTTGTGTAATCAATTTAAAAAAATAACAAAAGATAATAAAATAAATTTTTGGTTGAATAGTAAGGCAACACAAACCTAGAAATTCTATTCGTTTACATATACATTTTTGCATGGAAGTAAAGGAAAAATGCCACATAGGTGATGTGTTATATATAAAAGCTAACTAAGAAAGTAAGGTTCATTGTATTCTTTGACTTTTAATTGAAGTTATACAGATAATATAAACATTTTTCTATCGATTCAAAATTTCGTACTAAAATGTTTATATTCTTCTGCTGCGATCACAAAAGCTTTAACATCCTCGTTTTATAACACATCATACTTAGCTATTTCTACCGTTGTTCTGCTTATTCTCTAAAGGCAGCAAATTTCATATTGGTTGGATTTTTATACATGCGACAGCTGTTCATAAACAAAATATAAATTATAGAAAATGATCCAAATTCTAAGAAAGAATGCTAAAATATTTTGCTTGCTAACCTTACTTGCTTACGACGCCTTGTTGTAGTTTCAACTGCTGCTGTAGTTTCAACCATGCTGTACGCTTGTGTTGATTTCTGTCAAAAGTTAACACTTTCGCAGATGCTGCAAGTTTCAGTTAGCGATATTGATGGCATCACATGCGTAAATGCATTTACTTCGAAAGATATCGAAATATATATGTTATAATAAAAATATTTATAATAAAATTTGGGCCTTACATTAATCTGCCCTAACCTAATTGACCATATAGTACAAATAACTTATGAAATAAATGTTGTATCAGCCCAAGTAACAGTTAGCTTGTTAAGACTTGTGTGTGCAAACACCTAAAGAACGTACTTTCCTTTGTTGTATAGCGTAAAACATTTTTATAGTAAATTTAATTTTTCAGGTTAAACTTTTCTTAAAATCAACTTTTTTACTTAAAGATTCGCTTGATATTAGATTGATATATTTTGTACTGCAAGGTAAAAAGGAAACATATTTCGCTTCCTCAAATTAGTTCAATTTCCAATAGTAGAGAGCCAAAAACGCACCAATACTGGATAGAGAGCTTAATAGCAACCAAATTCCATTTCGTAAGTTTCTATTCGAAGATGAATTTTGTGATGGATGTTCAAACTTCGAGGAGATGATCTAAGAATATTTTAAAAGAAACATATTTATATTACTTGAAATATCTTAACTTATCTTACTTCTTTCAATTCTTCCAACTCTCCGTTTATAACATCTGTGAGGCCATATAATTCATTAAGAGCTTCCAGAACAAATCGGCTAGCAAAGGACTTTTCATCTAGAATAACATCGTCCGGTGGCAAAATCTGTAATTTATAGTTAGCAGACGCTAAACCGGCACGCAAAATCTCTAAGTGGCCGCTAGCATTCATAATAATTTTGCGATTATAAGATTGCGCTTCCTCTAGTTGACAAATTCTGAAGAAAATAAAGACGCTTATAAGAAATGGATCGAAAGTAATCTTTAGAGAATTATGCACACCCGTCGTAGGTGGGATACTGATTAGGTAAATACGCAAAACTATCCAATAACTCCTGTTTTTCTTTCTCGTTTTTGAAACCAATCAATTCGAGATCCTTCTTTGTTAGAGACGCTAAATCGTTATAACGTACGTTCTCTGCCTCAAGCTTCTCCACGGCTTCAATACCTTTGTCAGATGCGGTCTGAAGCCATCCAGCCAGATTAACTTGTCCGTTTCGGTTCTGCTTACGACCGCAACGTAAAAAACTATTATTTCCTTCATAAAGTAGCCCTTCAGTTCGAAAATCGTTCCTAAAGCCTTGCATCTTAGCCAAATATTGACTTCTTTTGACTAATATTGTGGTGTGATCCTGGGTTTTGTAGTTACAGATAGTCCGACCAGATTGGTTCGAATTTTACACCAACTATTTAAGGAAATGAAAGGAACAGTTAGGCACGCAATAACGCGTTAAAAACCAATAAAAAAGGCCATAAACAAGAGCATACAATCAAACATCGTATAGTGTTGCCACATGTTAAGAAACCAAAAAAAACGCAAAATATATCTCTTTATAACCGAAATTAGAAATTCGATTTGGTTGTTATTTGCACTGACCAAGAAAATGACAAATATTTTTTTAAAAATATCCTTAAAGGAATATTTAATTTAAATATTTCCATAAAATAATATAAATATTCTTTAGTTATAAAGCCCTCGGAGCAGAGCTCTGGATTTCACCTTTGATCCTTACTGAGGAATTCTTGTAAATCTTTTTCATTTTGTGTCGACCGATTAAAAAAATTTTGAAACTCATTATTTACTTTTACGTTTGTTCGTTCAGTGCATATGTTAGCGGAAAAACGAAGATGACAGTCGTAACTGTAGCAAACAAATACGAGTATCAACTTTCGCTTTCGTCCACGGAAATGCTATCTAAGAGATACACTTCTTCTTTTTTTGTTATTTAGCAAAGCAACAACCGAGTAATGACAACGTTGTTTTCGCAGTAGTGCTGTAAAAGAGGAGCGAATTGGGGACTTTTGCCGACGGTTTTGCAAATTAGCATAGCGTTCGTTCTGCAAATAGCAGAAAATTTGCCGGTCATATTCAAAAGAGAGCAACACTGCAAAGAATTCTCTTAAGTAATGTTTTGAGACTGATATGTTGTATTAACCATGATGTATTTAATATATTTATATATCTCTAAACATATATATATTATTCTTTAATGTATTTTAAGGAAACACTTTGACAAATTGAAAATAAATTGCCTTTGTTTCCTTTACCACTTCCTAGAAAATGATATGAAGTATAAATTGAAATTCCTTATATTGTAATATAAGAAGAAGAGGCAAGAATAATGTCTTAACCAATTTTTCATCTTTTTTTTCATTGATTTCTCATTTATCAATTTATACACAATCTCTGTAACTGACTGCGATAAAATAAGAACATATAATCTCCGAAATTGTTATCGGAGAAAAAAGAAAGAAAGGAAAACAATACAAAAAGAAAGAAAGCGAAAACCCTTAAGCAAGTACGAAGTTTTGGCGTCTGAGAAAAAGCGTTAACAAAAAAACATTCCATTTTAAAAAAATAATGGCAAAAATACAAAGTAATGCGTCACAAACCTTCTAATATGCTGGTCGTATAAGTCTCTTTTGAAAATAAAGACAAAATCATTGTTTTGAGATTCGATTAGAACAAAAAAGACTTTAAAATTACATAGGTAAAAGAGGAGGCACAAGTCAAAGTTGAAGCCTATTAACACGGATTCAAAGGGGAGAACGAACAAACGATAATAAGAAGGACAGATCCACTTTTTATTGCCGTTCGACCGACCTATCTGTCCATCTGAAGTCTTCCCCTTTTGTATTGTATTTTGTATTTAACCTATAGCTCGCTTTTTGGAAAATTTCTAAAATTTTGTGCACAGATATCCTTTGGCCCAAAAATAAACGTGAGGAATGGGTCGGATCGGGCCACTTCCTTATTTTGAAAATTTATGTCTGTCAAATATGATTGTTCTCTCATATAAAATCAATTCGACGTTTGCCTTTTTATCCTTGTCGGAAAAGACCGTGAATTCTCGGCCCGTAATATATGCCTAAAAAAAATTTGTGCCGTATCAGATGTGTGTTTGCAACACAAAAGAAACTTCTCCTGTAGAATTAGCACAATTTAATGTTTTTGACAAGTAGCATCATTTCACGGTCCATAGCATTAGAGATCGTACGCGACAGATTGCCGGACCTACAAAAGAATCTACGGGACATCTCATTTTCTGTCAAAATTAAAGGATTCTTCCATCTTTTCAGATTATATAATAACCTTTTTCGGAAATCAATTTGTTTCATTAAAAAAGGAAATCTTGCTTTTCAATTAGCTGTAGTTTTTCCTATCCTGTATTCTTAATATATTCCATTAACGTTAATTCTGTATTACATTGTAATCTTTAGGTTTTTTAGAGCTCAGCGAAATGAACAGCTTATTAATATAATGTTAAGAAATGAATAAAATTATTTATTTGGACGCTGAGAAGGTAGGTGTTTGTGACGGGAATGATTATTGACTGAAAGCATTGTCGAATGCTTAGATAATAAAAAACAAAATCGTAGCCGAAATCACACCTTCTACACAAAATCAAAGCCGAAAATTTTTGACTTCAAGAAATCTAGCGTGGCTTTTCATATATAAATTACAATGGTTTTCATTGCTCTTGAATTTTCCAAACAATTCCATCCAATTCCACACTAATATATTCTACAAACCGCTACCTTGCATGAGTTATGATCAAAATATATTCTATGTAAAAAGTCTGCGCGATTAAAAAATTCGACAAAATCGATAACACGATTACCTACATCTCTCATCGCTATTGCATCGAAATTGCAAATAAAAATCATATTCGCACGAAATAATGTACATAGATTAAACAAATTTATTTTTTATGAAATCGTTTACCATTAAATAAAGTGAAAGTTATCTTTAATACCTTGTAAAAATGATCCATGACATATTGCTATCGTGCCTTAATTTGCACTCCAAACGTTTGCCAATACAGGAATTTGTAGTAAGTGTATCATTTTGAAACTTTTTCAAACATTGATACTAGAACATTGCAGGTATCGGACGCTGTGTCAGCATTCTTACATCCATGTGAAATAAAAATTATGGATGACATTATAAAAATCGTAAATCTCTTACGGAATGTTGCGAAATTTTCAAAAATTTACGGAGCGAATCAAAACAGCACTAACATTGTGGAAACGGATATTGGTAAAGTAGCAAAACAAAAAACAAAGACATTGACATATGGTAGTTTATTAAAAAAATTTTAAAATAATTGCAGAACCTCTGCAAACTGGATTGTACTTAAAGGCATTTGTAAATGGCATTGACGATTCGCTCGACGATTATGTAACGGAAATTTCCGACCTCGAGAGACGTTACATTCAAAATCCCACTCATTCCTTATTGTTTATTTATCAAAAGTTGCAAGAATATGAACCTTTGGCAACATATCTAACAAAATTGATACGAGGAATTCGAATGTACAAATTGCATGGCTGCACTATCGTACAATATATACAAAAGAATAGTCTTCATGGTGACGCTCGCATTTACAAAGCGATGAAAACGTACTGAAAGTATGCATAAGCGTTTTTTGGAAAGTATTCATTGTAGATTTTTTCCCCATCGCTAGAATTCAAGCATCTGTAAATGCCATATTTCTAAAGCAATTGACCCATTGGATATTGTATGCGAAACTTATTGATAGTTATGGTGAGTTTTTTATACAATCATCCGAGACACATAATGAAAGTGCAACCGAAAGTGAAAAGGGTACAAGTATTGGCAGCAGCAAGCATACTACCACTTCCTTATCAGTAAGTTTTTTAAAAATATTTCTATTGCTCTATTTTAACTGGCATTATTAATTATTATTATTTTTTAGGAAGCCGCCAGCAATTATGCTGATATATGGCGTTACGAAATATGTTATGATTTATTGCCTCAATATTTATCATCCAGTTGGGCTGAAAAAGTTCTCTTTATAGGTCAAACTGTTCTTATTTTTAAGGTTAATTCTCACAAGTCAAACAAGGGAGTTCACACCTGGAACAAGACCGAAAACAATTTATTCAAAAGTGAACTCTCTTTATGGAATGAAAAGGAGCACATTTATTTTACCAAAATACAGGACTTACAAAATGATATAGATCTAAACGTATCTCATTATGAGCGAGTTATAGATGAAATTAAATTATACGTAACTACTCGATTATCTGAAATAGCAATCAATCAAGCTGACCTAGTACAACAATTAAGGTAAGTTGCATTTCATTTTAAACACAAATTGAACTTAAGTAAAACTCCTGTTTCGTTCTCTTCCAGATTGGTTAAAGATTTTTATTTAATTGGCCGCGGAGAATTATTTTTGGAGTTTATTCGTCAAACTTATATCATCAATAAAAGTATTGATGACGAAAATAGGGTTCGAGATTTTGTTAAAGCCTTTGAGGTATCCACATATAAATAAATCATTCTCCAGACGGAAATGTTTATAAAGTTTTATTGTCCCTTATCTTTTACTTACGTATTAATTTTATTTACAGTGCGCTGCTCAGGGCGTAGGAGTTACAGAAGATTTGGAACAATTTTCCCTTTGCATACCTAAGACGAATTTGGATGTCGACGAATCTACTCATGAATTCGGGTTTTTTCAATTAATTCAACTTCAATACAAAATTAATTGGCCACTTCATTTATTATTCTCTCCGAAAGTGATCGAACGGTATAACGTATTATTTCGATTTCTACTCCTTATTAAAAAAATGCAGTATGATTTACATATGATATGGTATCAGCATACAAGGGAATCGAAAGCGAATGCGCATAAAGCAAATCAAAGCCAGATAATTCATTTACGCAATCAGCTTATGTTTTTTGTTGATAATCTTCAATATTATATACAAGTTGATGTATTAGAGAGTAAGTGTAAATACATATATCTGGAAACTTTTATCAAAATTTTTTATCACACAGGTCAATATAGCATCCTTATGAATACTATATTGAATAAGGCTGATTTCGAACAAATCCAGAGAGCTCATAGTATTTTCCAAGCCAATGTCCTATCTTTGTGTTTCCTATTGACTGATGTAAGTTCTTAAATTCATAAGTGTAAAATTATTTTTACCTTTTACTTACTCTAATGTAGGAAAACACAAGCAAAACGAATATCCTACACTCGACAACCCTTCACTCTAGTAATCCTGTTTATCTTATAATTAATGAAATTTTTCACATTTGTGAAGATTTCTGCAATTTAAAGGCTAAAGGCGAAGGTGATGAACATATCGACAAGAGCATTAATGAGCTGGATGAGAGGTAAATTAAACTGTTTGAATTTTGCAGCAGACAAATATGTTATTTGAGGAAATTGCAGATTTGGAGGATTAATTGAGCAGCTTATAAATTTGTTAGTCGGTCTTAAGGCAGCGCCCTGTACAACGCCATTATCGCAATTGTTACTACGGCTCGACTTCAATCATTGGTTCAGTATTCGGAGAAAGCGGGAAAGTTCTTAAATATTGTTTTTTTTTTTCTACAAATTTAAATTTAAAGATTATTCCAAAAGTTGCCCATATTTAAAATCGTAGGCGCTTAATTTCCTCCATACGAAAATCAGTTCTGTAAGAAACAATAAAGAAGGAAAGATATGTTTACCAGCAATTAATATATATAACAAGTAAGAAAATTATATGCTGCTTGGGACCGAATCTCGCATACCTACCACCATTAAAATCTTTGGCGCATCATGTTTTTAATTACTGTTATAAAAAAGTGAATGCGATAGAATTTTTCTTTCGTTAAACGGTATTGTTAAGATAAATTAATATACCACGTCATGACAATCAATACGCTTAGCTTGTCGCATTCTGCCCTCCAAGTCCTTTTATTTGATGCCCATATCGCTGGTACAAGAAAAAATGAATCCTTTTCGTCATGGTGTTCGTCATATAAATTGTTAGACAGGAATACATTCATTTGAGGAATACACGAAATAGTTTCAAACATTCTGTCTTGTTTGCCTTATGATAAATAAACATAAAACCCCAAAAAAAATGAAAAAAGTAGAATTTAATCTCTTGTAACTTCGTGTGGGTGGGTATGGCCGATCTATTCATTTTTGCACACGTAAAGACTAGAAAAACTCTTGCGAGAAGAGGTGTCGCCCCGAATCATTTTTGATAGTTTTCGTCCTTGCATCAAATGTGCGGCCGTATCAAATTTAATCACTCTCCTGCAGATTTTGTAGGTAAACCAAGTTAAAGGAATACAGCTCGTCAACTTTTTTCATATGCGGTCACTTTAATTGCTTCATTTTTTAGACTGTTCCGTAAAGTAAATAAGGAAAATTTCAGCCTTCTTCTTTTTATACTTTTATAATTTTTGAGTAAGGAACAAAAACACAAATTTTTGACAAGAAAAACGGAGCCGCCTACAGCTTATGCTCTACTGCGGCCGATTCTCAATACCAACATGCGTACAAGAACTTCCAATGTTTCTACCAAATTTGAACTCGATATATTAATTTTAGCGACCAGGAGAGTCCCAACAACGAATATCACACAGAAGGACCGACGTGGCTAAAATCAATTCAGAATTTCACGCTGTTCAGGAATATGTAGTATAGAGTATTTATAGAGTATCTGAAGTTTCCGTTTGGGTTTTACATACATTATAAAAAAAAAATAAAGTTGAGCATGCATACGCTCATCCTTCAGCGGTGGATATAAAAATGGGTAAGAATTTTCAGCAAATTGAAAAAAAATATTTGATAGAAAGCGACAAGCTTGAAAATTTCTGGAATTTTCTAGCCAATTTGCATATTTGGCGAATGAACATCGACTAAAAATGTGTTGGCTGCCTTTCTCAGCTCGCGCTACATTAAAATCAGAATTATAAGCAAAACCGCCTTTCTGGTGGGGGAGGCGGACATTTAGCTTTTCGAATGGACATAATTTAGACATACGTACAATTTACATTCGAGTTTTCATTCGTCCAGTCATTAACAATGAAATTAGATTCGAAAATTATTTAAAGCCCACCTTAACGTTAAAATTGTGCGAACTTCGTTTGGCGTAATGCGCCACGATGGTGACTCGCTAGAGTTTTCTGGATCCCAATATTCATTAAGCTCCGATACTTTTTCCAAATTCAAGATTGTCGCAATTTGTGTTAGTCGTGTCATTTTGTCACGCACAGACCAGGACCAAGACGTCGCGTTTGCTAAATAAGCACCTAAAACGCGAATTTCTTGTTCTAGAACCAAGCCACCTAACTATATTCAAGAATAAAAAATGAAAAAAAGAAATAACGAGTATACAGCTAGAAATATAGGAAACGCTGTTGCTTGAACTTACGCGATTGAAAGTGCATTTTTTAATAGCCCTCTCCAGACGAGACGTTAACTCGGTTGCTAAAATGATAACTAAAGCATCGTAATTACGTACAGTTAGGATCAGCTTAAAAGAACTGAGGAAACCATCGATCTGAACGATCAAATATTGTACAAATGTCTCGCCGGCTTCGTAAGCTGCCAACTCCTCCTAAACGATTCGAAAGTAATTCCTTGAAATATTAAAAATGAATAGAATAAAATTGTTTTCTTGTACCTCGCTTAAATGGTGTTTGTAATTAAGATACTGATCAATCCATGGGTGTAGGCGCGGCTTAATAGCACTTGAACGTAACTGATGCATACCAAAGTCGACACAAGCTTTTAAAGTATCGCGTACGGATTTTAATTCAGCTACGCAACTATCAATTATTTGACGCTCTACAGCAGACATGGCGGGAAATGTTCCAACTATTTCTTGTTCCATTGTTAACCAAAGTGTTTCGATATACTCAGTCGACATGTCTGCATTATTTAACTGTATCAAAAAATTTACTCGTGCTTTTTCCGAGTCGTTAGACTGCAGCTTACCCTGCTGCAGTGTCGTCTGTATAGCATTATAAGCCTGAGCCAAATCGATGTATCCCGAAGGATACCCGACTTTTAAAGGCGACCGTAAGGCATTTACGAAATCGCTTTCCAAACATGATGCCGCGTTATTTATCACAGCGCAAGTTCCATTGATCGATTGACTGGAGAGAGCGCGTCTTATAGATTTGCGCACTACAAAAAACACATCGTCCACCATTGATGAACATTGCTGACCATTCTCATAAGCATCTAAAGCAATAGCCTTAATTACACTTCCTTCCATGAAGTATCTAAAATAAGTGCAGGCATGTCAGAAAATTTACTATATTAGAAGACAAAACTCACTTCTCCAAGAGTAGATATATTGCTAGTAGCTCTTGCATTTGGCGACTAAGATCGCATTGACCTAATAGTTTGCTCAGTTTATCCATTTGATCTTGCTGTTCATTTTCATCTAAGGAACATGCTTCAATATCAGCCTAGAAAGAACGAACCAAGCTATTATTAGATATTAACTAAGGATCAAAAAATTCTTGTGGATTTATGTGCACTACTACCACTACAACTACTACTACTACTGAATTAACGACTGCGACAAATTATTTACCGTTACACGACGTTTCATAAAACGAAAGTATAACTCTGCCCTGGAATGCATAAGAGTAATTTCAGCTATTATTGCATCTAAATCTTTGGGATTCAATTTGTCAATTGATCCGCCTGATGCCTTGCGATAATGTCCCAATGACGGTGAATTTGCAGAATTGGTTTGCGAATTACGTATACTTTCGTTAACTTGCTGAACACGAAAGGAAATTTTCCGGTTTTTGTTAAATTCCAAAATTAAGTTTTTTATATCAAGATCACATTGACGTTGTAAAACAGTTAACATGTGTAACATATGGCCCAAGCCATAACACGCTTCTACTATCGGTTGATTAACCTCAATGACACGGGCAAAGTTTTCTAAAAGAGAAGTTAAAGCGTCCGCATACGCTACAGGTAACCGCTTTTCCGCTTTCGCGATGTCTAATGCGTTGTTCAATTCTTTTTTTGCTTTTGCGGATAGTTTCGTGCATATGTAATAAGAAAATTTTTCAATTCCTTCTTCGTGACGGCCAAGTAAAGGAAAAATTTTGAAAAATCTTTCCACTGAAGCTAAATCATCCTTTTTTACAGCTTCGTCAAAACGCCGCACAACTAAATCACGCATTTCAACAGTTGCAGCCTCCAGGGTTTGTACAGCCTCACTTACTGAGCTCACTGAACCTTGAACATCATCTGCTGTACGTTTTAATAGTTGCAAATCCATAGATAAAAAACGGCTTATATGACCTGCACCTATTTCGTAATCTTCATCCTGTATTGCCTTCTCAACACCTTGACTACAAAGTTGCAAATCAATCAAGTCATGCACCCGTTGCTGACATTCAGACACTCGACTTCGGGCCAAATCTAAACGGCGAACTTTTGCACTCACTGACTCCGCCAACTGAGCTGTGTGTACTATTTGCCAATCCAACTTGTTGGAATCTTTGAGAACTTCCTGCAGCACAGATAAAGCTTTATGAATGCCATTCATTTTTGCCTCCACATGATCTTGTTTTGCAAGAAGAGCCTCCAACTCAATATTGATGCATTCCTATTTTTAAAGACTCTAAATATAAAACTAATGTTGTTCGATAAAAAGAAAACGGACCTCTTTTCCCTTAATTAATTCTAAGACTTCATCCACCTTCCCAGACGTAGAAATATCTACGTCACCAATTAATGCCTTCACATCCATACTGCTTTAATTGCAGGCGGGATTAAATTTCAGTCAGTAATGAAAATTCCGTTATTTAATTTTCCATGAACTTTTTGTATATTAAAAACTTTTCACTTGAAAGTTGTAAAAGTTATATCAACAACCGAAAATTCGCCGAGATGTAGTTGATTTATTATATTTCAGCAAATAACGTTAAATAACATCTGTGTAAGGACTGTTGCCAGATATAAATTTCTTCTTTCTTCCTTAATTCGAGCTCAGCTACGATGTACTATGATTTATTTTTACAATTTAAAGTGAATTTTTATGACTTTAAAATTATATGTTATTATATAAACTATATATATATATATATATATCTGATATATATTATTATTATTAACTATTCTCGCAGTATAGGAAAATCATAGGATTTAAAAAATCCGCCTGAGTGGCCGAGTAGGCAAGAGTCTCGACTAGCAACTCAATAGTCGTGGGTTCAAACCTCAAGTGCGGTAGAGTTTTTTAATAAAAGCCGATAGCCCTAGATGCTAGTGCTTTAAGACTTTAGTCTTAGAATTTATTCTCTGGCTAAATTTATAATAATAATAATAATAGGATTTAAAAAATTAAACGGGCAATTCAATTTATTGCATAATTAACTAAACAGTAAGTAGGCTGATATAATTTTTGGGTGGGACTTCAACTTCCCGACCTTTTATAAAACTTATTTATGTAATTTATTTCTATTTATTGGAATTTGTGATAAATGTTGAAAATAAAATCTTAAATTTCGAAGTTCTTTCATTCCTTCCATTGCTGTTCGTATTTATTGCCATCCGTAGTTATTTGTTAAGTATCTAAATCAACTAAACCGAAGAACACAAATTCAACATGTGGCAACGTCTAAGCGGACTAAAAACGCGCGGCGCAGAGTACAATATGACAAGAATTTTATATAGTCGATGAAGACTTCCTTTTTTTTTTTACTTTTATATCAATATAAAAATTTCAGGAACTTGGTATTATTCCGAGTATACGTCTTATATATTTTTTATTACTTGTAGTTTGTGTGATATATATAGCAGCAACGAAACACAATGAACTCTGTACAAGTGGATTTGTTCGATATAGCAAAGCACATGCTGGATAAATATGAATTTGAGGATTTGTCGGCGCCCGACCTGCTCGAAGTAAGTCATAAATTATTTCTATCAGTTTATTAATATTTTGCCGCAACTAATTTAAAGATGGCGGGTGTCAGCCAACATGGTATGGCTACAGCTAGTGGCCTCAACGATTATGATTACCAGACGTTGTCCAGTTTGTCAATGGGCCATAAGCAGTTAAATCAAGTACAGACCGTAAACAAAATTCCTATACCACCCGAAATACTAGAACATTTTAAACGTAAGTTTGCAAATAACGAATATTTATTTAATGATAATATTCATTTATTAATGCAGACATAAAATGCCATTGTATGATGGGGCTCTTTCCCGAAATTGGACGCGCATGGTTGACTATCGATTCTGAGATATACGTAAAATAAATTTTCACACGTGTAAATAATGTGCAGCAAATTTAAAAATGTCGTATTTTTTCATAGATTTGGACCTATGAGCAAGTGCGCGATGTTGCCTATTACGATGGATTAAACCATTTAATTGTGAGCGTCGGTTTGGTGAAACCAAAGGCAGGTGTTTTTATAAACGATGTTAAGTTCCTTATGATATTAACGACTCCAATAGAAATAGTAATTTTGGGTAAGTTTATGTGGTTTGTCGTTTAATCTTATTGACTGAAATTTCTATTTTAGGAGTCACATTTGGTGATGCAACAAAAACTATTTCATCACCCTCGCGTAATATACCGAGCAGAACCACATTCCAAGAGATGCAATTGATGAATAAACCGATATTTATACTAGGCACTGATAATGTTGCCATTAATGTTGTACAGGGTAGTAACGATGGCCGGATATTTCTTGGTGGCCGCGATGGTAATCTTTACGAAATTGCCTATCAGGCAGAATCAACGTGGTTTGGAAAAAGGTGCAAGAAAGTGAACCATTCACAAAGCATTATCTCATATATAGTCCCTAGCTTTTTAAAAGTATTTTCAGTAAGTACTCTTCGTTCAACTGACGTTCTTGCAAAGCTGTTTTGACTTTTTCTTTTTTTAAGGAAATTGATCCTATTGTGCATTTGGCTATCGATAATAGTCGCCAATTGCTATATGTTCTAACCGAAAAGGGTTCTATCGAAGCTTGGGATATGGGTAGAGACTGCAACACAATGCGACGCATAGCAAAACTCACGCAGAATGAAATTGTTCAAAGCGCTAGCAACATTGTCAAGTACGTTAGTCAACACCAGAAAATGAGGACAACTTAAATCTATAATGCTTTTTTCTTTTTTCATACAGAACAGTTGACCCTTCAGTTTTCAAGGGTATTAAATCTATATGTCCTCTTTCCATAGATGATTGCGCTAATTTGCACTTATTAGCTGTTACCCAATGCGGAGTGCGTCTTAGCTTTTCTATAACATTTTTAACACTAACACAAATGCAACAAATGAGTCAAATATTGCCATCGGTATCCCCGATGGTTCAACAGCAGTCACCCACTAAAGTACCAGCTGGCACGTGTCCAAATAGTAGTTTGCCACCATCACCTGCCTCGTCTATTAAATGTCCACCAGATCCGAAACGGCATTCAGGATTATATCTCATTCATGTCCGTCTCCCTCCGGGCTACACACCTAATACAACTGTTAACAAACCTAGACAGGTTCATTCGGCTCACTACAGTGAAGGCACATTGCTATTAGCATCAACTCCGCAACAGGATCAAGATATACTCTGGTCCATTAGCTCAGCCCCTTTTCCTCATCGCCCTTATTTGACCGAATCAACAACAATTATTCCTCTAGACGGAATAGTTTGGAATCTGGCTGAGATACCCGACCGGTGTAAAGCTAATTTACAATCACTTTTGCGTAGAGCACAAAAATCAAAAAAGGTTGTACTGTTAACAAATCAGGGAGCACACATTATAGCGTTGTTAAAACCAGTCGACATATTGCAACAGTTGCTAACAGCGTGTCATGGTCCGCATCATGAGGCCGTAAAAGCATTTTTCCGCGTAAGTATATAATGTTTTCTTATCGACTTTAAACATACAGTTTGATTTGGACAGGTTCAAGGTGAACGAGAAGCTTGCGTTACAGCGTTGCTGCTGGCTTGTACCGAACAATACCGTTCTAGCGATTTGGCTATGTGGGCTGCTCAAGCATTTATGTTGTACGGTGGTGAACCATCACTATCTAATCAAATGCTTGGCAATATACCTGGCGGGTTCAATAAATTGCCATATCAAAATATTTCGATGACAATGGGATCAACAGGTATGGAGCATAGACAGTCGCCGCAAATGTTCATGTCAACGCCAATGACTAATCCTTATGGTGGAGTTATTCCTAATCGAACGCTGAACGCTACTCAAATGCAAGGAACCTTTCAGCAATCGCATTATCCTTTAAGCCCAGGTACGTACGCTATGATCTTTTCAATCAAATATCCTAACAAAAAAGTGTCTTTCCCAAACTTAATAGTGGCTAATCAACCTGCAGGCATAGCTGGTGTTAATGATTTGAATGCTCCTGTTGTCTATTCGTCCAAACATGATGGTTTATATTTGTACGTGACGCGTTTAGTGCGCCCTATATGGAAATTGCGTTGCACTGACAGCAACCTCAATAGTAATCTTAACCAAAATGATTGTACGCTCATTCTGGAGGAATTATATGCGATTAGAAATTTTTTGGAAGCAAACTCAGTGAATGAACTTTCCTGTAATTTAATAAGTAACTCTATTAAGACCATTGAACAAAAAAAAAAACATATTTTTCCATAGGTACATTGAGGAATTACAGCGCTCAAGCTACGATGTCGAATGGTTACGGATCTTCAATACAAAGTACAAATATGGCTGCTAACGATCCACATTTAAACGCCGTTGAGCAAGCTCAAGCAGAAGAAAAACGTTCATTAACAGCGTTAAATTATTTCATAAGTAAGTTTAAATGTATGTAACGCATTTATTTTCACCCTCGCTGGTATTTTTGATCATTATAAGTTTCAATCAACAAATATTACAAAATAGGCTACGAACTCAAGTTTTGCGATTATTGCGAAGATAGATTGAGTGCAAACAGAACCATTTTTAGAATCTATTGACCATTGATTAAACACACTTAGGAATGGTTAGGCTTTACAGCTGAATAAGCATTCCAACCAAGCTGATGATGAAGGTTCAATGCCGTGAGAGCAAGCGATTAGCTTAGCACGTTGCCAATTTGAAAACTCATTATATATATCTCAACTCAGTATATATATCTAAAAATTGCTTTCCTTGATTAATTGAAGAGGTCGTTGGATTCATGTTATCAACAGCATTGGCGAATATTTTGCATAGTTGTTAGTAGGACATAGGTTGGATTTTCCTCCCTTTTCTCTGTCGTGAATAATAAATATTACTACATGTACCAAAAAAATAATTATTAATTTTTGTAACGATTTGCAATCAATGTAATTGCGTTTGATATAAAATATGACTTAAGAAAGTTGAGATATTCGCTAATTGACTTTTCGACTTTTTTTAAAATTTTTTTGCTTATTTAGAACACTTATGTGAAGTATTTGCATTATGGAAAATTCTTTGCGAACACCACTTTAATTTATTGGCTTGTCAGCTTTCAAAGGATCAGCAGTGCCTATTGGCTTCGTCTACCTTCCGGGATCTTATATTATCGGGTTCCGAGTCATGTGTACTTCTAATTTTTTCCCTAATTCACTCATATCTAAAAGACAACGCTAGCGTCGGCAATATATCGGCTAAATTACGTGACGTCTGTCCAAATTTGTACCGTCATGAGGATGCAGTGTCATTTAAGGCCACGGAAATATTGATGAATGCTAAGAATTGCACTTTTCCTGAAGAAAAAGAAGAGAAACTTCGTACAGCTCTACAACTATGTAAGGACGCTGCTCCTAATCTACCATTACAAAATATTTGTCAACAGGTTCGTAGTAAATAAAAAATCGAAATTGTTTCTATTGCTTACAATTCGTAGTTTACGCTAAGCGGCTTTTATGAAGGGGTCATTGAATTGACGATTGCTTGTGCCTGTAAAATAGATCCTGAGGAGTACGGAATTCATTACTATCAAAGCGATGAACCGGCAGAAGATAGCGAAGGCTACGCAGCTTATGCAGCCAGGTATAATTGTGTAATGTGAACGGAAAGAAGCAAAATTTCAAGTAATTTGTTGCCTTTTCTTCTAGAATGAATTGCTATAAAGAAGTACGCGTAATGCTCGATCAAGTTTATCAGTCCGTGTGCAATGCCAATACTAATAAGGAATATTCAAGAGAAAATTGCCAAGAAATGAATTTAAACGATCAGATTGAAAAGATTGCCGTAATGGCTGTTAAAACGAAAGATCCGCTTTTGCATGTCTGTGTATATGAGTGGTTGATGGTGCATGACATGTTGTCTGAGTTGCTAGCTCTTAGCGAGCAATCTTTAGGTGAATTTCTGCGACGCAGCGTCATACGGACGCCCGACAACTTGAAACTTATCGATTTATTATGGAAATATTATGAAAAGAATGATCATCACGTACAGGCGGCCCGTATTTTAGATAATTTAGCATCAACCCAAAGTGAAAATATTCCACTCGAACAAAGACTTGAATATCTGGCTCGTGCTGTTATGTGCATGCGCAACGAATGCGTTGGCTATTCAATTACAAATGGAGTGCTGCTTAAGGAGCTGGAAGATAAGGTAAAAATATGATAATATATTTAAATATGTTTAAATATTTGCAAAGTAATATATTTACATTTTGCAAGCTCGAAATTGCCAGAGTACAAAAGACAGTTCTTGATGCTGTTTCTGAGTTGGTGGGCACCAATGTAAATGCCACAAAAGCCATTAGTAATTTAAATGGGAATCTTTATGATATAACTCAGTTATATGAAAATTTCGCTGATCCTTTCAATTTATGGGAATGCAAACTAACAATTCTCAACTGTTCGCACCATAACGATCCTCTGTTAATTGAATCCGTTTGGGGAAAAATTATCAACGAAGCAGTAGAAAATGCCAATTCGGTCGAACAGGCCTGCACCCGTTTATTTACAAAAGTAGAAACTCTAGTCAAGGAATTCGGCGAATCAGGGCATTGCTTTCCATTAGCTTTTATAATAAGAGAATTGGAAGTTAAAGCGTGTCAATTACGTTTCCCCGAAGGAATAGTCCCAGAAAAATTAATTGCTATGAATCTGGACATTGAACTTCTTATGGAATACTATTCAAGGTGAGTTATAAAGGAATTCATATCAATTTTTTCATTAAGAATCTACGTTTCGTTTTTAAAGAATGATTTCCATTAACGAACGAATTTGGGCAAATGAAGGCAACGCATGGCAGCTGGTGCAGTCATCAATCTGTATTATCACACTTTTAGCCAAAAATATCCATACATTGTGCTCTCGTACAAGGTGAATTGCACTCAAGAAATATCACTTGATTCTATTCTCTTATCTGATTTCATTATTTTATAATTTCATAGGCGACGCATAGTAATTGGAAAAGCTCAAGATACGGTTTCAACTTGCCTTAATTTATGTTATCAAAAACCTGGCACCGAAAGTATGCAACGAGCCTTAAAAGAATTACAATGTCGCCTGCAACGTAATCTAGCTTAGATGCAACCAACTGCCAGCACTAATCGATACAAACCAATAATATTGATTTTTGTATTGTTATTCTATTATTATTATTATTACTATTATTATTATTATTAAGTTTCTTGCATCCTTCTACTAGTTATATTTTTAATTTGGGGAACAATTACTTATAATGAATGAACAAAATATCAATAATAATCGGTATTTAGCGTGTGTGTGTAACGATACATGACCGCTTATCTGTGAAAATACGTCAACCGAAACGATAAGTGCTTTTCAGTTCAGTTCAGATTCTGTCGTGATCGAACCTTTCGTAACCACCGTCGTGGTGCCAAAAAAAAAGGACAGTAACTAAATTTTCATACTCTATAATATTGGATGGGCGCGGCTGATCTTTCCATTTTTAGAATAGGGTGCACATATTGCACTTTACTTTAAAAGTTTAGAAAAAAAAATTGAAATTATGACCCACTATAAAATTAAGTGAGCATTGCCGGTTTTTTACATTTTTGCAGTGATAATACAACATCGCCCATAGGATCCATGGCCAATTTTTTTTGGATTTAATTGGTGTAGTTTAAGAGTGATGAGCAAAACATCAATGTTTTATTACTTTTGAAAAACAGAGGCGTTTTCAGTTTATGTGGTGCTGTGGTCGTGTCCTTCGACCGGATATGTTCATTGTCGATGCTGATCTGCGTAAAAGAACTTTCAATATCTCTGCCTGAATTCAATATCAATATCATAGCTTCATTTTTCCGACCAGAAGAATATCTACACCAGACATTCCGCAGACGGAGATGCTTAAATCGTTTTAAAATTTGGTGCTGATCTACAATATATACACTTTGTGGCTGGGATCTTTTCCTTCTAGGTATTGCAAATGTTTTGAGAAAAGGAATATACCCAGAGAATGTGTGCCCAATCGACTGAACACTCACTCTAGGGATAACCAAAGCAAATTCTACCACACCGAGATCTGAACCCGCGAAAACTGTCTTTACTATTCAGTTCTTCTTGGGAATAACTAAACTTTTCTTTGGAAATAAGTCGTCCCGCGCCTCTCAGAAGAAAGGCAAGCGTAAAAGGTAAAAGGTAACTCCATCTTTTTTTTTTATTTTTTTTTTGTATAGTTATAAAGCGGGCAAAGAATTAAGCGAAGAAGTGATTAAAGATGCTTTTTTCATGAACCACACTATTGACTGATTACTCGGAGAATTTGGCAAAGTGAGAATTAGAGATCGGTTTTTTCTCAAACAGAACTTCGTGTGCCGAGGAGAACCTATATTGAAACCTGCCTATGAGAAACGTGGGTATATGAATGATGGTCAGAATTCAATGTCTCCAGACGTAATAATTTAACCGCTACGAAAGATAAGATCGAGAAATTTAGCCTAAAACTTGGAGCATTTCATTTGTTTTTTTATAACATTCAAATTTGTATTGTGAGAGTAACGCAGAAATTTGTGGAAAAGTTTTGAGCAAAGTTGATCCGTCAAATCGATCACATGATTGCGTACTTTTTGGCTCCAGAACTTGGGTTTAATTTAGGAAAAATTTAGGGAAAATATATTTACAAAATCAAAGGATTGAAAGAGAATTCGTTCGCCAAATTAAGCGTCCTGCCTCCATTCAAAATATATCAATACAAGCATCAAACGCTGACGCAGTTGTCTGTGAATCTGTAATGGCTATATTGAGGTGTAAGGTATATGAAGAAATTTATTTGATGATCCAAATTAATTTTTATGAATAACTATTCATCGTGCAATTATATGTAAGAAAACATATTTTTAGTAATTTTCTTCAGCCTGTTAATAAGTCAATTAAATGTGTCCTTAACTTTATGTTTCCACCGAAAATATATTTAGATTTATATAAGGGTTCTTTTCCAATTTATCGATAATTGCTAGTATAAATTGCAGAATCGATGAAAAAGCGGACATCGCACAGACGTGATCAATTCGGATGAGAAGATAGCATTTACACTTATCAAGTGTATTAATAAAAAATGTAACGTATTTTTATGTAACTAATGTGTATCCAAATTTTGCAAGTGCGTCTTGAGAAGTATGCATTTAGTCATATAGCATTCACATGGTACAGGATGTTCTATTGCATACGGGTCTAGTAACTCAAATTCCAAATCGTATTTGCGAATATCGTCCGATCTTCGGCTCATTGACATTTTAAATGAGATGGGTGCGTTATTGTCAATTTCTAGACAAGCATTCTCTGGAAGAACAACCACACATTGCTTCCAATGAGTTATGGAACAATTGGGGGCCGTCGAAAGGATAATTGCGTCCTCATAATTTTCGCTGGGAAAACGACATTCAAACCAAATACAAAACCCTTGATGTTTTCCTGACTTCTCCGCTACCAATACCTCTTCAAATGCTATTTCATCCAAATCTGTTCGATTAACATCCATTAGATTCATCCAATGGGCAACAGCCCCCCTGTGCAATAATTGCTCTGGAGATATTTGCAAAATTTCAGGTTTATTGGAATTTTGTTTTCTTAGCTGTGAGCTAAATGACTTAAGGCACACACCATCTACATTATTCCAGTCATCGAAACGACATGGCACCGAACAAGGCGCTACATATATGGCACACTCGGTTGGAAACATCAGGCCATCTGGCTTAAGGAAATTATCCCGCGCAAAGAGCACAGAATCTAACATGCCTTCATGCAACAAATAAAACCCCATCCACTCGGAAACGATTATGTCTACCTTCGCAATCGAAGTTGGTAAACAGAAATCTTCTATCTTCGAATGAAAAACTTTTACCACTGAAGTTAATCCATTATCTTCCATCACTTTTAAAGCAATCTCGGCTAGATTGGAAGCTTCCACTGCGTACACTAACTTTGCTCCAGCTTTCGCACAGAACGCGGACAAAATTCCTGTCCCGCATCCAACATCCAATACAATTTTATCTTTGAAAAAGTTGGCATTTAATTCTATCGCTTTTTTGTATGCCTGCTGCCTAGGACGATCGCGAAGCATTAATTCATGCACCTGATAATGTTTAATCGAAAATTAATCTAACATTTCGGAAGCCAAACAAAAAATAAGATTACCTCCAAATTTTCATAATGGGTAAAATAGTTGTCTAATTCGAAATCCATGCTCGTTGTTTTAAAAATGTATTATAAACAAACAGATTTCAACTGTTGCATGTAAACATTCTTGCCCAATATGCGGCCCGCAGATTGAGTTGTATTTGATACAAATGTGATACATATAGGAATGCTATAAGATGTCGATGATATTTGATGTTTTTGATTGATCCATAGTTTGGAAAAGACAATTGAAACTATTTGATGAATATATTTTAATCCTAAAATATATGGTCTCTGTTACATGTTTTTTATTTTTTACATATATAAACCAAAATTGTAAATCACATAATATAATAAAAATGTGAATTAGTATACGTCAAAGGTGGATGGCATAAATAGTTTATAAACTTAAAATATATTACTTTTATCTTTTGTTTAGGCGCCGTTTTCTGTTAGTTTTATTTGTGAATGTCATACAAAACCATATGATTTGTCAATTCTCATAAAGTTTTGTAAAAAGTCGGCAATATTAAAGCCCCAACCCGAAAATAGGAATAAGGCCTCATTGTGTCAGTCCCCTTTGTTACTCAAGCCGTATATTTACATACACCTCGATTTTTTTATTTTTTCTTATGAAATGATATGGTAAGGCAGGAAAGCTTGGTTTTTATGGTGTCAACCCCGTGCTTATTAAAATTGTAGCGTTGTATGTAAGCGAAGCTTCATTGCATTTAAAGCCTATCTTCCCAGTTCCGGGGAAAACATTTACATTACAGATTTTCCATATATCTAGTTTATAATTATTCATATATTTATTATACAGACTCTTGAAAAATTGATCCATTTTTCGGACTACGCCGCTTGCATTGCTTTTCAAATGTTCGACTTTTATACCCGGCACAAAAGCAAAGCGAACTGATTACATCCAATGCTATTACACTGGCAACGCTGCCACTGAATTATAAACGTCAAAAATTTCCTTTCTATCAGCAAGCCTTTTTCCGGTTGATTTTGAGCGTGTAAGTTTATATAGTGTATTTTTGCAAAAAATTAATTTGGAGACATCGTAAATATGTGTACATGAAAGCTGGTTAGATTTTATATGTTAATTGTTAACAACGACAATGATTTCAGTCAAAAAATTATTTACTATATAAGAGTACAATTAAACGACCAGCTTTGTGCAATAGTTTGAGATTGAAATATGTTTCATGAATATAAATAACAATACTAACCCTAGACCAATTATTCGCAATTCTAAGAGTGCAAGTAAAATTATAAATACCATAGTTTTAATTAGTAAAGTTGTTCCTTAAATTTCTAAATTTGCACTATAATAGTGTTTACTTGCATTTAATTGCAGTGTAAATATGAGGACGATAAACTCAAATCAATGTGTCAAGATTCCCAAGGACATAAAGGCGTCTGTAAAGGCTCGTGTTGTCACCATTACAGGTCCAAGGGGAACGTTGAAGCGTAGTTTTAAACATCTGGCTTTGGATATGTATATGGTTAACAAACGTACCCTTAAAGTTGAAAAGTGGTTTGGCTCAAAGAAAGAATTAGCTGCTGTTCGTACGGTATGCAGTCATATTGAAAATTTAATCAAAGGTAAGAACATTTAATTAATCTGTTTGTTTAAAATAATAAACTAATTGCTATTCTTTGCAGGTGTAACAGTGGGTTTCCAATATAAAATGCGTGCCGTGTACGCCCATTTCCCCATTAACTGTGTCACCTCTGAAAATAATTCCGTTATTGAAATTCGTAACTTTTTGGGTGAAAAGTACATTCGCCGCGTTCAAATGGCTCCTGGTGTGACCGTTGTTAACTCTACGGCTCAAAAAGATGAACTTATCGTTGAGGGTAATGATATTGAAGCTGTCTCCGGATCAGCAGCTTTAATTCAACAATCCACGACAGTTAAAAACAAAGACATTCGAAAGTTTTTGGATGGTTTATACGTTTCCGAGAAAACTACCGTAGTAAAAGAAGAAATATAAAGTGTTTTTCTTGATTACAAAAAAATAAAATTCGGAAAGTTGTTAGTTCATTATAAGACATTGATTTCGTTCTCAGCAAATGTAATGTCTGAAGTCTGAGGAGGTCTGTAATCAATCGAATGCTAATGTCTTCACTTGCAGATAGTAATTTTTGCTTCTATACGCGTATGGGAAGTTATAAAAGACGCCAAGAAGGTTGCAACAGCCCGTCAATGAAGAAAGGAGATTTTCGGACATTTTCGAAAATGAGTGGAAGTAGACTAAGAGTATTCGAAACTTTCTTTATCCATGGAATCTCCTCTTTTGTTAGACTTTTTTTTACAGTTGATCAAGTGGGTTCTCTAGAAAACAGATCCTATTAGAAAAGCAAGAATAATAAACTAGAGATGTTTATCGTGGAATGGCATTGAGAAGCATCGATAGCATAATTTTGTTTCATGATATTGGAAATTGTGTTTGAATGTGCCCATGCACATGGGATGTTGATATATATGGAAAATAATTATTGTTCTTGAAAAAATTAGATCCCTCTGATATTTAACCTGCAGAAAAGTGTTATGAGCGACAGTTTTCCTGCCATTTTCAGTTTTTACAATTCGTAAAAATTACTATAGTGTTGTATTTAGACATATTTTCTTTTGTTAACTACCAACATCTCTATGTTTTTTTGCGCACGACATCCAACTTCCATATTTCCAAGCGGCAGGTTGTTTCAATTGCAATGAACTTTACCAATACTGCTTGTGTTTGACATGTATTTTTCAAAAGTAATTTTTCGATTTCTGAATCTTTGAGGATCTTCTCTATTCCAGCTTCCGTTGCCGGTAATCTACTATCGTTAAAACATTACAAACATTCATGGGACTTTCATTCACTAATAGAGGTCTCGCCATTAACATTTCCAGCCTTTCAACAAATGGAAATTTTTTTTTTTTAAGATGTTCAGTCAAATGGAAATTTTTTCCTATGTACAATGTTCAATATACAAATACAAATATGCAAATTTTTTACACTTTATTAAATAGTTATATTTAATAACTATAATTTTATTTAATAATTTTGGATTTGGTTTAGTTGCAATATTTATTCAAAATTTTTTATTAATTAAATTGCATTTTATATTTTGCAAAATTGATATAAATGATAAAAGACAATGTAATAATTCAAAGGAGGCCACGTATCCATTGCTAAAGAAAGAAACATTTTACGATTCCACCGACATTTTTCATTTAATTTCATTTCATCGAGCGGTAAGACGGAGAAAAATAATAAGAAATAAAATCGAAACTTAATTATCAAAAGGAATATACCATCTTGTACAGGTTTACTTTCGTCATTTTTTCATGGTTAAAGAATCAGCTTCAAATAGCTTCGGGGCCATCTAATCAGTTCTAAATCTTCGGGATCATCAGGCAACTCGCAAGAAGATATGCGATTTAACAAACGTCCGTAAACCAACTTTTCGTCTTATTTTAAACCATCGATGAAATTCGAATGCTTTTCGGAACTAAATGTCACTTCTTTGATTTATTCAAGCACAGCTTTAGCTTTTAACTAGAAATCTAAACATAGCGGGAAAATTTTTTAATTACTAACGATATTTCTTGAACACTGCTTTATTCTTTTTTATTTAGCTGAATGTTTTTTTGCTTTTTGCGTATTTCTTTCATCTAAAAGTCATGTTTCTATTATTTGTTACAAATACTAAACAAATTTTTCAAAATTAACTGATGAACAATTGTACTGTTAGTAACGGAATTATATCTTATAAATCATCCTGGAGAATATCTCTCTAGATTAAAAAATTTGCTTTCAGTTTTCATGGATAAATTAAAAAATGAAAAACCAAAGACAAAATCAAATTAAGTTGTAATTGCTGAATGAAACCATCTCTAATGTTAGATAATGTTAAGTTTTTGTTTTGCCGACGGTTTTTGTTAAGTTGGTCCGTTAGATAATGTTAAGTTTTTGTTTTGCCGACGGCTTTTGTTAATTTGGTCCAACAAGACACTAGGAGCAGTCAGACAGGCAGATAAGCAATCTTACATCGATTCGGAATAGCACTGCAGTGTTGCTCTCTTTTGAACATAAAGATTTGTTTCACGACCGGCATAATACATCTCTGCAATTTTAGAATTTCATTTATTGTTTCGTGCCATCACAATTTTATTTTTTTTCAAGTCGGTTGCATCAATACAAATTGATAGCGTCGGTTTTATTTTCTTGTTTTGATAGCATTTCCATTAGAAATTTTCTTTACTTGTCTTACTTTTGTTTTAGAATATAAATTCACAAGGTATGTTATGCGTTCTAATAAATAAAATTTTATTTTTCTACAAAATTCAAGTAAAAACATATTCAGTGCAAGGGATGCGCATGTTTGTTTAAAATATTATAATGTGGTCAACGCTTGCTCAATAGTGCATTTTAGAGAAAAAGAAAGAGTAGCCTTATTCACCTAAAGGTGAATA